ACGCGGTTAAACGTGAAGCCCGGTGAGCAGCCCCCCTTCTTGTTTGGGACGGTTCCAGACATTCTGGGAGGTTGGATGTCAATGACTCTGATCTCAATGTCAACGCTACTTGAGGCCCTATACGGGATCCACAAGTGCACGAGTGTCGAGGTAGCAACCTGGGCGGGTGCTCTTGCAAAGGAGAGCCCATCGTACCCTCCAGTCGAGCTCCTAATACGGAAGGTCTGGAGGACAGATGGCACGACTGAGCGCCCGAATGAGGTGCTCTTTGCACGGTCCACCCTAATCGGGAGGGACGTGCCGTTCAAAGTTTTCAAGCGTTGGGCACTGCGTGACCGAACGCCAATGGGGCCTTTGCTCAGGCCGATGGTAGCAGCGGAGGTCCCTTATACGGGATACGTGCTGCTGACGATGGCCGAGTATCGGTCCGCCCTCAAAACGAGGTGCATCCGGAGGCCAGGCAAATTCGCCATCACGGTTTTTCCCATGCAACCTGAGCAGGTCTGCAGGGGGGAAATCATGATTGGGATGGAGGGCGCAAAGGTGCCTCTCCTCAAGTTGCCCAGCCCCAATAATGAGGGCGAATTTTATGTTGACGATCGCGTCAAATACATGGACAAGCGCCATGTCGTTGTGGCCGTTGACCTAAAGTGGATGGCCATCGAGGAAGCCGCCGGCATCTACAAAACCCGACGCGGTTTGATCGCCGTGCGGGAGGAGATACATGCGCCTTTTTGGCGCGCATGCTATCTGCACCAGGAAGGGGATGTAATGTACATCCGTCCCTGGGCGGTCCGTGAGATGAATGTTCAGGGACCGCGGAGAGGGGTGTCATTTTCATGGGACAATGCTCCCATGCATGACTACTGGTGCCCTCGGTGCGCGCGCTTGAACATGTATGGCACCATTCTATGCAATGGTTGCCATCTGCCGATTTCTATCGTGAGTGGGTGCCAGGCACCGTCCGCTCTCTGGTCAAGAAGGGACAGCCCATCTGGCTAGAGGGACTCAAAGCAGTCCGCGCCAGCAGCTGGTATGAGGGGGAGACCGACGCGTGGGCCCCTCTCATGGCATCGGTAAACCCGATCCGCGAGGTGGTCAGCTGTATGATCACCGGTTTGCGCTGTGCGCCGCATCTTGTGCACATTCCCAATGCGGACATTGTGCAAGTTGCGTTTCAGGAGGTTGCAAAGGTCACCTCAAAGGACACTCACGCTTGTGTGCGGGCGAGTGATGAGGCTCTCGAGCGGTGGGTAGCGAAACAGCTGCTCATCGAGGAGAGCAACACTGGCGTCTCGATTCCCGACAATATGTCTGTCTTGGCATATTTGATCGAGCACCCGCAACAGGCGGCGCAATGGGGTCGTCATATGACGAGAAAGGGCAGTCTAAATTCAGCATTTGCCCTTTACCTCTCTGTGCATATCTTTGATGCCTACCGCATCGGGATTGAGGACGGGTATTTGGTTCCGCTGTATGGCCTAGGCGCCTCACGCGCGGACATCATAATGTCATTGGTACAGGCTGAGCGACGCCTCACGGACTTCAACTCTGAAGATCCGAGTTTCGATGCTTCCACTGTTCTTGATTGGAGTATCGACTCTTTGCGGGCCGGTGGTGGATCCATCACGGCCCCAATTGAGTATGCTGAGGCATACATTTATGTCGAAGACAACAAGGTTGACATGGTCCCCGCTGCGCGGCGCGACGGCCAATGCGCCATTGTTTTTGCTGACCCGCCGGTTGGGAAGCACCACAGGCGGGCAGCCACTCCTAGGGGGCCAACGGTCTGCTACCCCGCGACCTGAATCCAGGTCAAAGGGTGATCAGCAAAAGGGCAAAGCCCCTGCGCAATCCTGGCCCAAGGGCGGAGGTCACAAGGGTGACCAGTTCCCAGGAAAGGGTCACAAAGGTGATCAGTACAAAGGCAAGGGTGGCCAATACGGCTACCAGCAAGGGCAGTTCGGTCGTGGCGGATCCGCCAGATCGAGAACTCCCACTGGCGGGTATCAGCCTGACGCTCGCGGGTCGGGGTACAAGGGTGCTCAGGCAGCTCCTTACCCTTTCCCGAGTCCGATGTACCCCGCTTTCCCAATGGGAGGATACATGCAACAGCCAATGGCTGGCATGATGCCGCAAATGTGGCCTGGCGCAATGCCGCAGGGTTGGCAGCCGCACATGCAGGGTGATCCCCGCGAGTTCGAGAATCCGAACTCGCCGCATACCCCTACCTGGGGTGCGGATGATGAGTTGGCCGAGACCGTGCCTCCTCCTCCTGGGGACTGGAACGTCAACAAGGGGAGGGGACGGCACGGCGGCGGACGACATCGGTGATACCTGGTGTCCGTCTGCATCCTTTGCATGGCGGCGCCAACGCGCGCGTGTTTTCATTCCGGAATTCACATAATGGACTATGCTCCTTGTAGTATTTCTGCGTTTGGGCTATTCGCCATTTCAGAATTCAACTGCATGCGCAGCTGTGCGCTATTCGCGCAGGCAGCGATTGCCTGTCAGGTGTGCGTCGCCGCAGCAAGGAAGTCATCCTCGGCGGCGTCTATGGCCGCTGGTGATCTGCTTTCTCCAGCACCGCTGCTGCTGCTGGTGATGGAGCTCATCAAGGTGCTGTGGTGAGGATCACGGATGCGCTGCACCGCTGCTGGTGAGGTCCTACTCGGACCTGAACCGCTGATTGCAGCTGGTGGTGTTCCTACCGAAGGTCTTTGTGTGATCGCGCGCCTAGACGGTGCTACTTCAAAGACCGAGGTCTTGTGGTCGAAGCACCATGTTTCAACCAGTGGGCCAATGCGCCTAAATCATGAATTCAGGAAATAAATCCACTTGAACCTTACGGTTCGATGTGGTTGCAGTGCAAATGTAGTTTTATTTCATGCCTGCCATTCTGGAGTTGAATCTTTGTTTCTGTTTCTTTCTGCTTTCTCTTGTTTGATTTGGCTACCGGCGCGAATCCGCCCCATACCCGTAATTCGGGGTGGTGGCGGGATCCGGGCACCAATGAGTGCCCGGGTATGGGGCCGCGAACCCTGGTAGCCTAATCAGCTTTGTTTTCTTGTTTATTGCTTTTCAACTTCAACATGGCCAATGCGCCCTTCCAAATTCACTCCTTCTCTTTGTACAGGCGAGGGGGGTGTTTTTGGGGGCATGTAGTTTTATCATAACATGTTTCCACGCCACGGCCAATGCGCCGTTTGGCTCAAGCTTTTAACTGTGGCAACTTCCGCCCGCCATAACGTCGGCGCTCCCTCGGCGGCACTCGCCATCCACCCGCGCGAGAACAAAGCGCGCTGCTGGACAGGCTGTGGCCTTGGTGGTTCTGGTTGTGGGTCAGGCTGGTGGGTTGACAGTTCGCTCTGGTTTGCTTTGCTTGCTCACTGTGCGCTGCTTTGTTTGCCTGCTTGGTTTGCTGCTTTGTGCTTGCTTTCGGTTGTCTCTGCCCTTGCTGGGTTTCTTTACCTTGTTACAACTGGCACCCTGTTTTGGTTCGTGTTTGGCCAGCCGGGGGCACCGCTTTGCCCTTGGGACTGGGGGACTTAAACAATCTCTTCTTGTTGGTGGGATTGGGCCTGTTTATTCTCTCCCGAAACTCTGTTTCAAACCCTTTCGCAGATCCTATTCTTCGTTGGTTTGATCCTTTTCTTCGGAGTTTAGGGCCCACAAACGAAAATTGCTCTCCCGCAGACTTGTTGAGGAACCGAGAAACCCATTGTATACGTGGGCTATTAATTATGGACGTTGAAGAGGAGTACCTGGACCCTCAGCATTCCAACTTAAAGATGGGTTAGTGCAACCCAAGACTATGGGGTGTACTCGCTTTGTTATGAGTAGTTTGAGGGTCTGAGTACTCAACAGATGGACATAAATCGAAACTCAGATGATTGGACCAAAGCTTTGGCTGTTGATTTGTATATCGGCGCCCTTTTTGTTTGTTCCATATGAACAACCGGGAAAACTTCTCCGAGTTTTGGCCACTGTTTGTTCGCCAACGTAATCCCGGGCTAGAAATGGAGCGTGGCCTCACCCCTCCATAAAGAGCTGGGGATGAACGAATTTCTAACGAAATGAATCCATGGTTGAAACCATAACTTGTTGGTATTTACATGGCAATCACAGGGTTTCTGAAAGGTGGTGAGATCGAGATGGATGTCGCAACCACGCGCGGTAGTGAATTGCGTCGTTAGTGGTTGCATGCCCCATGTTTCATGGGCCGGGTGAATTGTCCAACTTGTTTAAAGGGTACCTGGGAGGTGCGTTTGTGTCGCGCCTTCTCCAAGAGGGGGAAGGAGCTGCCAGTGCCGCCAGGCCAGCAGATAGGAAGTGGATCTGGTGAACACTCATGTGGCTGTGGGTCGAAACCAATGGTACCATTTTGGGGTAGGTGCACCACCCATTTTAGGCTATTTCATTGGGGATTGGGATGTTCACTAGGGGTACGGGATTTTGATCCATGCCCATGTTGTCCCTGTGACCCAAATATGGCTCAGCAGCAGATGAAGCACGATTGCACCATCTACAATAGATGGTACGCGATTTTTTGCTGGTCAACCGTGAAGGGTGTGGCCCCCCCCCCCCCCACCAAGAAAAAAACACAAAATAAAACAAGTGGGTTGCGCCCGGAATTCTGAGGATGCAGGTGGGCCTAAGACCCAGCCCCCCGTCTCCATAGCCCCTTTTCCCATCTCCAAAGCTTTTCGGGGTGCAAGACTTGACGGCTCCAAGCCATACCTGATTGTGTTTAGAGTCCCGCAAAAAGTGTAGCAGTTGGCAAAGAATCATGCCAGGTTTGGAGAACCGTTTGGTTCACGGGAACAACCAAAAAGAAGACTGCTCAACAACAAGTTTACCCCTGCTACCCATAAAAAAGGGAGTTCACCAACCATAATTTTGGGTGTCAAAAACCCGTGAGTCTGAGGGTCCAGGTATATGAAGAACGCCCAAAAGCCCTGAAGTAAGACCCACCGCCATGCCGCGCAAGCGCCTTGCAGGGGTGCCAACTCCGACTGCTGCAGTGACAGAACGAGGTGCGGCCGAATGGCAGCCGAAGGAAGCGAAAGGAGCCATTGTTTACACGTTAGTTGGTGGAAGGGTATGCACCTGTCAGGGACACCTATGTTGCAATTCCGAATGAGCCAACTTGTAGGTGCAATTCGTTCATTGATGGGTCATTTTGGACAGGTTTGGATCCACCCTTGGCAAAGGACAGGCAGACCAATGGATGGACGATCTCCATCTCGCGTCACCTTAGAAACAATGGTTGAAACCATTCTTCCTTGGTATTTGCAGGGGAATCATCATGAGGTGGTGCAGGATTTCGTCCATCAGGCGCGAAGCGCACTTTTAGGGCAAGCAACCTTTGTCCGATTACCCCCCCCCCTCCCACACGAACCTAACTCCCCGCGCAAGAACCAAACCGAACCGCACCAAACCATTCAGCCGGCAACATGAGCTTAGCCATGATGAAGGTAAACTTGCCGGTACCGAGACAAGTACCTGAACCCTCAAGCTTCCAACTTGAAATTGGGTTGTTGCCCCAAGTTTTATGGTGAGGTATTTCCACATTTGTGGGTACTTTGAGGGTTCAGGCACCCCTTTCAAGGTCGGCTTTAAAGGGAAACCACAAGGAAAGGGTCGTTGCCATTTTGGGGGCTGGATTCCATTTTTCAGTGCGTGGCTTGAGGGTCACAGCCCGAGCAGAGGAGATGCCCCCCAGGACATGAAATGGTTTTAACCTGGTGGCTCCCAGCCGTCCGGGTCCAGCGTTTAGTGGTAGTTGTTTATTTCACCCACTAAAAGTTGTCAACTTTTTAGCGGGGGATCAGTTTGGGCAGCCCAGTTTTGAGTTAACTTTAGTCACTCTTCGGGAAGACCAGAAAAAAAACGAGCTTGGACTTTTTGGGCCATCCACTCGAGAAGTGACACGTGCCGAGCGGAAACCGGGGAGAGCTATACCAGAGCCCTGAGGATTGGCTTACCTGACAATCCACGGCAGGGCAGGGCTGCCTCTTGTCGCCCTCGGGTTTCTTTTTTGAGCTATCTCAAGGGCTTGCCCGTGAGCTGAGACCAGGAAGCCCAACTCAACTCAGACAGGGATGTATCAGGGGTCCCCCTTTCAAGGACTCCAGGCATAATACCTGGAGTGTCCATGACACTTGAAAAATGGTTGGTCACCACCCAAAATAAAGAAATGGGTCATGAGCCCAGTTTTATTTCGTGTCGTGGAGACTCCAGGTATTTTTGGGGATTCCTCTGTAGTGTCCTTTGGATGCATCACAAAGCGGGGGGATACACTGGAACTCGCTTCTTGTTTGGTTTGGATCCGACACGGCGCCGCGGGGTGGCCTAGCCCTAGGCCACCCAAAGGGTGCGCCGCGTTTTGGCTCGCTCCCGGTTTTCGGTTTTCGGGCCGTCAGGGGAAGCAGCCCGACTGCGCGAGGAAGTCGAGAGGCCGAATCAGTTCGGCCGTGGACTGCTAGGATCTTAACTGTAAGGCACTTGGGACTTAAAGAAGTGAATGGTCTGTGGTTTAGGACTAAAAGAAGTCATGATCATAGGAACATAATTCCCCCACTCCAGTTTGGTAAGACTCATGCGCAAGGTACTTGGGTGTTCGGCCAAGTTAGCAAGGTGTTGGACACCGTTCGTCTATAACCCACTTATAAGCCCCCCCCCCATTCAGTGGAGTTAACCTTGTTATTAGCGGGTTGTAGATGGCTAACTGCTTACGAACTTGGCAACGAGCATCCAACTAGGGACTCTTTCAGATGGTTTGGATGGGAAACATCAAAGAACTGAGAGCCCCGTCAGCGGCAACGGCTTCTCCAGCGAGGTTCACAAAAGGAAAGGGCTTCGAAGCAGGAGGCTCAGAAAACAGTATACCCAAAATGGCACACTGGCAAAAAGAGAAGACTACCTGCGTAACCCCTAGCTGGACCTGCGAAATTCCAACTTGATGGGGCAAATGGCAACCCCGCCTTCCCCGCAAAGAAGCGCGGGTGCGTCGGCCTGGGGTTTTGCAGCCAATTTGGTCCTTCACCACGTCCTGAGTTGTTGAACCCCCCCCCCCCCACGTCCTCCCCAAGTAACCCTGGTCCCCCAGTAGTGCCCTTTTACCCTTTTTTGGGGAGTTCAGAAGGTTTTCTGACATGTCCGTCACAGAAAGTGGAACTGTTCGCGAGGGATCAAGCCACCAGGTTTGGACAACCGTTTGGTTTACCAAAAAAGCAACCAACACGTTAAGCCACTGGTTTACATCTGGACCCGAAGGAACAAACCATGAAAGGGTGGAAGTCACCAATGAACCAGAATGTCGGGTTGCGAAAGCACATGTTTAAGTTGGAATGTTGGAAGGTCCAGGCAGATGTTCCATGAAGCCTCAAGTGACCCATACAAAAAGGATGCATCCCATTTGGGGCAACCCAAATTTCAACAAGGCCCAAATTGATTTCAACAAAACCCAAATTGATTTCAACAAAACCCAAATTCATTTTAACAAGGCCCAAAATGAAAGTTTGAGTTTCGAGGCTTTAGATTTCAAACAAGGCCCAGGCGTGTGGGAGGTTTCCGGGTGAATCCCACCGCAGGCTGAAGGCCTCGCTCGAGGAGAAGGATCGCAGGCTGGGCTCCCCTTTAAAGCTCAGCCAACCAAAGAAGGATTCTTCCATTTGCTTAAGAACATGTTGTAGTTTCCCTTGTTGGCTTTAAAGGGAATCTAGTGCTACTGGATGTTTTTTTTGGGGGGGTTATATTTATTAAAATAGTAAATTATTATTTCCAGGTGGCTTAAGCAAATGGAAGGAAACCATAGTGTGGATGGTTGCGAAATCCTTCACCACGTTGAAACCATGGTCTCACTCCCTAAGTTTCTGGACTTTAGTCACTGTTTGGGTAGACCATTTTAGTGGTGAACAAAAAGTTCGGGCTTCTTTTGGCCCATCCACTCAGGAAGTGAGTGCTTGAAACCATAACGTTTGTTGGTATTTACGTTGGTCTCCGAATCGAATCATTCCAGGGGTTAGGTGGTGCAAGATTTCGTCTATCCACAGCAGTTCGTGGTTGCATGCCCATGTTGCCCTTGAGAGTCGCCCTTTTGGGGGTGGAAACCATCTTAGACAGTTGATGGGTGGGGTGTCCCATGGGCTTCGTCCATCGAAGGTGCGTTTTGCGGATCTCGTCAAAAGTCGGTGGAAAATTGGGGACCGGGTCCAAAGGCTTTACCCCTGTGTGGGGAAGGGGTGTGGCGTGTTCGTATCTTCAGCTTCCCCCTAATTGGTGGTTTGGATTTGTGGTTTGGACGGTAAAAGGGAAACCCCTCCGTATCCAATCCAAACAACCAGTTAGAGGGAAGCTGATATCTGGATGACAAAGACAGGTCCGGGGTGTTGGGAATGCCAAATGGGCACTTGTCAATGGGCCCCTACCAGAATCACGGGGGAGACGGTCAGCTCAGGGTCCCTAGAAACAACATCTAGGCCCCCCAGTAGTGCCCTTTTACCAACCCTTTTTGGGGGGAGGGTTCCCCCACTATATAAAATAGACTACAGCAAAAAGGTGGTACCCTTGTTCTAACCTCTCTGCTGGGGACCTAGACATATTTGGCAACTTACATACTGCCAGATCACGGCTCATGACGCTCATTGGCGCTAACCCAAGCCAGGCGTCAAAGACGTTGCGGCCTTGTCCTGCTTTGTGGGATCAATTGTTTTTTCTCAGAGAGAGATACTGTGGATGGACGAAATTCGCTTCGCACCACTTTAAAACCATGGGAAACCAGTTGTTGATATTTACTGGGGAATCTCCAGGGATTTGCAACATGGATTTCGTCCATCTCCAGCAGGACAGAGGTACTGCGGGAGACAGGAGCAGTGTAGAAGCGAGCACACATGGAGAATGACCGGACAGGGAAGCCAGTTGCAAGGATACAATTTTGATTTGGGCCGGGCTAACAGTTTTGCCAAGATACCCAATCATTTAGAGGCTCTTGGATTTTGCAGGTTCCTGAACCCTCAAACAACCCCCCAAAAATGATTCACCCCATAATCTTGGGGCAATACTCCATGCTTAAGGATATTTTGAGGGTCAACATAGTTGTTGGACCAAGAACTTGCTAGTTCACGGGATGGAGAGTGGCTTCATCCTTTCCAAACAACTGACGGTTTCCTTTTAGGGGATCCGAAAGGACTCCTGACTTGTATGTTTCCGCTCAGAAAAGCCGTCATGAGCCTGAGCCGGAAGAATCGTTGCCTTTCTATCTGTTTCTATCTATATATTCCTAGAAACAGGTATCTACAATCAGGAATGACAACCATCGCAACAACCATCCCTCTCTGGGTTGTGGGATCAAGGGGTTTATCCCCACTTCTGTGTTACAAGGGAATAGTCTTTGGGGCTTGCCCTATCTGTTGTACCACAGATTCGCGAATTCCATTTCAACCCCAGCCCTGATCAGAATAATCGCCGACATACTGTGGATTGACAAAATCCATTTCGCACCTCTTGGAAACCATGATGAAATGATTGTCCGTTCATCATTCCACGGTTTCTGAAAGGTGGTGCGGTGCGAAATGGACTTTGCAACAATAAACTTAACTGCTAGAATTTAGTTTCTTGCTCCCCTTCCAACGTCAACAAAGAATTTTGAGGGTTTAGGAACATACATCAAGCATCACTTGTCTGTGCCAGGTGCGAGGAGCTGGAGCCTTTGGGGCGGCAGTTGCAGCACAGCCAGGAGAAGGCGCGATCGCGACCTCGCGACGTCGCGTTCTTTCAGAAGTTCGATGGCATGTTCTGCGGAATGTCACGGGGTATGTGGCAGAATGGGGACCATCAAAGTGGCGTTCCTTCCGGTTTCCCTTGGAATCGACCAAGAAAGGCTGCTGAAACACCAGCAAAGACCCCCAGATTTGACCACCCAAACGATCAGCATCCAAATCAGCACCCCTGACCAGCACCCCCAGCCCTCCCACCTGGCCCGATTTCGCTGAAGAAATCCTACCCCTTTAGAAGTAGGAACCCCTATATAGCTTTCAGCTCTCCCAGGAGATGGGTTGCGAGCTGTTTCTCAATGATCAAGCCGCAAGGGCAGAAAATTGGGGAAGTACGGCTTCCTTTGGTGCTAATTTCTACCCTCACAAATGGGTACCTGATGGGCCGAGTGAGAATTGTCCAACGTTTTATGTGTTCGTTCAGGTTCAGGTTGATTGTATCCACCTAAGCCCTCAAAGTATCCTTCAACATGGGCTATTCCCTTTTTTGAAGTGAGGGTCCAAGTACCCGACGAGCTATTCGGAGGGGGACTTGCGCCAGGTGCAAATGCTGGAGCAGGGCGCGAGGCCGGTTCGAGTTTGCTGGGCCTAGAGCGGATGGGTCAACTTTCGGGAATTTTCCTAGTACACCCTGGGCTTGTTACACCCTTGAGTTGAAATAGCGAAACTAATTCCAAATAACTAGAATAGGTTTTACCTGGAAATAGGCTAGAATAGGGTGACTCCCGAGAGGGCGTAATCCCAGGGTCATTGTAAACATTTGGGTGGATGGGACACGAGGATGCGTGATCTTCATTTGGCTTGTCTTCCAATGACCTCAACAAGGGCTCAACAGCAAAGAGAAATGCGCCAATCAAATATGATCCTGGACCCTCAAACTACGCATAAAAAAGGGAATTCACCAACCAACATTTTGGGGCAAAAACCAGGATTTTGACTTTTCAGGGTCCAGGATCACTGATTTCCGGGACCCGACCCCACCCACCCAAGTGTTGCACCTGCAAAAGGCGTATTAGCTCTCAGAGCCAAAACGAGGCGAGTGCCTGAGACGTGGAGCCTGCCCGAATATCCATGCTGCGCTATCAATAATGCATTGAAGAAGTCCATTTTCAGGGAAACCAATACAGGACTAGCTGCTCAATTTCATGGAGCACGTGGTGATTTTAAAGCCAGGTTATAGCCCCCTTGTACCCTTGCATAGTAGGTAGTAACTTGGATTTCTCATTGCTTTCTAGAGAGTAATTACCCATCTTTGGGACCCAGCAGGAACAGCACTGCTACGAATTCTTGCACCACCTAAGAAACCATTTGTGTAACCATTGTTTGTTATTATTAACAAGGGAGTCGAATGATTCCACCGTCTCTTAGGTAGTGCGATTTCTGGATTTTGCAACCATCAACAGCATGGCGTTTGAAGGTGAATATTGTACCTGGACCCTCAAAATTATCTTTAAATGTGGGTGTGGCTCAAAGTCAAAAAAGCTAGGGTTACGCAGGTTTTGCTCCATGTTTCCACTTACCAGGGTTCCATTTTGGGTACAGTACCGGTTGTCTGAGCCACAGCCATGTGTTATTGCCCCAAAATTGTGGGGTGAATTCCCTTTTCTTCTGGGTAGGTTGAGGCTCCAGGAAGCCAGTCTTCCCAATATTTCCACCGGGTGTCTGGGGATACTGCCAGTAGATTTTCTCAGGGTCTCACAGCCTGGGGGCTTTTCGGCTGTCTCAGTGCTTCTAGGTCATTGCTATCTTGGGTGTTCGATTCGCCAAGTTAGTACTCACTTGCCCAAAGCGAATCGACCGAATCTGACCTTTGGGTCTTCCCACATTGGTTCATTTTTAGTCATCGCGCCAAAAGGTTAACCTTGTATTTCAAGGTCCTTTGGGCAAGCAAGAGCAAGCTGTTGGAAACCTAGGTCAGAACCCACTTGTGAGTCCCCGAAGTGGAGTTAACCTTCACCCGAGTGGCGTTTTCCACTTACTATCTTGGCGAATCCAACATCCAAGTAGCGAGAACGCTCCCCCTCAGCCACAAAAAAACATGGGACCCCGCAAACCATCCTTTGAAGCCCGGAATCTGAGTTTTTGGGGACCCCGTTTGCTAGTTTCTGATGGAGTATAGTGGGTATATGGGTTTGTCTCAAAACTGATGTCCAAGAAAGATACCACAAAATAAATAGTATGCCTGGACCCTCAAACTTCCCTTCAAAATGGGCAGTTGGTTCAATAATATGGTGTGTCAGGGTCCAGGTACATGTATTTTCACATATATATATATGCACATATACAGGCATATATATATATACATGTGTTCACAAGTGTACAATATATATATATATTGATATGTATATATATATATATACAGGTGTCAGGGGTACCTGCTCAAGGGGCACATGCTTGGATTGCAGCCGAGGCTCACCTCAAAGAGGTTTCGACCGACTCTTTCCGCGGGAACTCTTCAGAAGGTCGATCCCAGTTCGGGCATTTGGGTCAACAATAAATCCTTCAAGTTGGGCATGTTTATGTAGCTTTCGCATAGAAATCCTGTGGAGTCACTTTTGGGTAGTTGGTTCCCTCAGAAATTGCGCGGGCCTGCGGACCTGATTCGCGACTCGAAGCCTCATGGCCATGTCTTACGGAATCGACTTGGATTCCTGCGATGATGTCGCGATCGACGCGCGGGGATGGTGCATGAAGAAAGGCCATTGCAAGCGCTTGGAAGCCAGGGCCGGGAAGAAGGACCGCCTTTTTTTGGTCCGGGGAGTTTAAGTGCCATTTTTGGAATTCCATGTTTTGAGAAGCCACCTATCTGGGGGCCAAATCCCTGTGACACATACTGTGGGGGGAGGGTACCAGAGGAAACCGCAGTTAAGTAATGTTGACCCCTTAGGCCTGTCAGATGGGCAACCAAGAGTGAAGGATTCTGACCCTTGGCCTGTGAGTTCAGTATTCCCGAAACAAGGTTGACCGCAGATTGAAGTAGCAACCCGGGAGGGGTGTCCCCTTCAATCCTGGCTTCACATTGACTGGATGCAGACTCAAATGCGGGGCACAGGCCGGCAAGAGACTGCTTGGAAGTAGGACTTGTGCAATTCATCATGCACTCTTGCTTCAAAAGGGTATGTATAATAGGGATTTGAGCCTTTCATGAATTTGTACCCATGGGTTGGTTCAAAGGAAACAAAACGGAAAACCCACCGTTTTGCGGAGTGGCGAAAAAAATGAAGTGCTACTGTAAAAGGACCAAATCCTGCGAACTGGTGCAGGATCATCCACAGCAGGCCAAACCGCAGGTTTTTCCTGTTTTTTTCTCCGCAAATCTCCCTTGATTGGTTTAAATATCCACCTTTTCATCCGATTTGCTTTTCAGTGACTTTGAATGATTCTGAAGATCTACCCCTTATGAGTGAGCCAGATCCAAGTTGCAAGTAAGTCAGCCAGTGGCTTTGAGTTGAGCGATTCCTCTGCTTCTGCCGGCAAATGGAAGTGGCTTGGTGTCGAATGAATGCATTTGCTCCCTACTGTGGATGCACGAATTGCATTTCGCACCGCCTAAGAAGCCATGGTTGAAACTATGGCTTTCTTCGGTGGCGCAAAATGGATATCGGAGTCAAAGGGGCAATCACCAATCATTTTTGAGGCAACTGCTCATTTTTAGAGAACATGTTCTAACAAACGCTAGTTGCCCCCCCCCCCCAAGAAGAACAAGGTTAGTGATTTCCCCCTTTTTGATGGGTCGTTTGAGGGCCCAGGTCCCCAAACCCCCCCCCCAAAACAAAAAAAAAACACGCCGGGGACTGGTTCTCGTAGGAGCACGGCATCGGGCGCTCCGCCGTGAAGCGCAGCGTGAACGACCGGCGCCGGTTCCACGGTCGCCCGGCGATTCATGGAGCGCCTGGCAAACGGCTCGGAGGGGTGCCTCAACCTCGAACTGCCCCCCAAAAAACCTCAATTGCTGAAGCCCACGGAAAATTAGCACAAGTTGCCCATAAAAGGGGGAAACCACCAACCATAATTTTGGGGCAACTACCATTTGTTATGGGAATTTTCAATTAAACAACCCTCATTTTGCTGTTTCGCCCACCGGAGAAACATAAAACAAGCATGCCCAGTACTGAAATCGGTTGCCTTGAAAACCATAGGGGAGAAAACAAGTATAGAAGAAAAGGGAAACCACTAACCATCAATTTGGGTTGCAATAGTTTTCTTCAGATGGAATTTTGAGGGCTCGTTTCACCCCGAAGTGAGCTTGCCATTAGACAGGGCCATTCAGGTAACCCTTGGTGGTTTGCATTGGTGGGGACTGGATTTGAACCCCTAATTCTTGTAGAGTGTAATGGGAAAGCACCCCTTAACCAATCCAAACCACAAATGCAAACCACCAATTCCAGCTCGTTACTTCCAGCGAGAAACATTGGAGGCACTCAAAATGTCGACCGGGCCTTAGCTTTGGGCGGGTCTGTGGGTTGGAAAAGATCGAGAAAGGCCGATGGCCCACCCCACCACTGGGTTTCTTCAGATGGAGAAATGGGTTTTCAGCCAGGGCAATTTTGACCGACCATCCCCTATGAAGGGCCGACCAACCGAAGGTTGTCTAAGGATTGGCAATGGGCATTTACGTGAAGATGTTTCATCATAGGGTTGGCCCAACCCCCCGCCACGCCCCCCCCCCCGTCAAGATTTGCAACTCCTAACCCCCCGTCAAGAGGTTGACAAGCCCTGGTTGTCCTGATGTTGCTCTTAGGCAATCAACCAATTATTCGTTAGGGGCTGCTTTTTGGACTACCTCTTCCCGACTCCAAGCACTCAGACTCAAGCTTTTTTGGGTATGATTGTATAGGGTGAAAGAGGATGCACGGCGGGGAGTCTTGTTTTAAGGATACCCTGTTTGGGGCTGCTGTTGTTTTAGAGCGAAGCCAAAGGAACACCACCCTTTTAGAGAGGTTTCTGTATTTGAGATGGGAACCTTCAGAAGGGTTCTCAAAATCCTTCGATCTGGGGACCGTTTCAAAGGGAAACCAGAAGGAAGGGGAGCCTTTGGAGGCAATCCCATCAAGAAGACTGCGAATCTTAATGGGGAACACTCTCAAAAAATGGTTGGTGGACACAATTGCGAAAGTATGTGATGTCCACCAGAAGGTCCCCAATTGATGGATTTATATCCACATAGGCTGTCGATAGACCCGTTGATGGCTCGGGGAATCACAACCCTTCCGAATGACCCACGTCTAAATGTCCACCAAAGGATCCTAATGGATCGCAGTGACAATTCCTCGCCATTGCTTAATTTGATAGGGGTAGCTCCCTCATTCTCTGGAGGGAAGCTTCTCAGACTATCCCAACCGGTGTACCCTCAAACAAAATTAATATGTATGTATCTATGTAGATACGTATGTATGTTGATATATAACTATACCGGTACACTATGATAACGTGCTCCAGGGGACAGCTTTGAAACATACTCGTGGGAATCTTTGAGCACCAGCGAGGCCAAAGGCAAACCACCTCACCCCTCCGTATACATATACATCATATGTTCATCGAGATTTGAGAGCTGGAAAGCTGGAGGT